AGGAGCCACCAAACCAAACTGAATCACACAAACAGCTCACTCCCAGAGTGCGGGAAAAAACAGTTTGCTAGTGATAAGATGGCCTCCGGGGCCAGCCCTCTCCCCTGTCAAGTCAGCAACAGCAACAAAAGAAACCGTCCATATGACCTGACTGAACATTGCTGGATTTATACCTGGATTATAGAGCATGAACTTTGGTGTTTTGAACCACTTTGGCATGGCTGCCTTAGAGGAGTTGACGGGGGAGAGGGTGGGCCCCGGAAGCCATCTTATCACTAGTAAACAGTTTTTTTTCCACTTTGGGAGTATGCTTTTTGTGGGATTCAGTTTGGTATGATGGCTCCTCAGATTGAAGAAGTCCTTCGGATGAAGGACGAATTGTCTTAGCAACAAAAGAAACCATCCAGATGACCTGACTGAACATTATTGGATTCATACCTGGATTAATGAGCATGAACTTTGGTATAAGTATGTTTATATCACAAAAATCACAACTGCTTATAGGTGCCTGCCTGTTTCAGCCAAATTGCCACTTACTTTAATGAATGGCAGGGCCACGGTCAGCACAACCTGTTTAATCAAAGTTATCAATCACCATCACACACAGACACACACACATACACACACACAGAGGTAAGGATGCAGATTGACAGTGTTCATTTTCTAACAACGTATCCGGGAAATTGACAGGCCTGTTTGTGCTGCTTCACTGGCGGGGGGTCCTGATTTCACAGCAAGCCTCCGTCACCACTGCGTCAGCGCTGATGAGCTCAGCGTTTGTCGGAAGGGGAGGGAGTGAGAGCTCAGAGACCAGAAGATGGAAGAGGGACCTAGAAAACAAGCACAGAGATGAGGAGAGAGAGAGAGAAAGATTGTGAGAGGGGTGTTGCCGCCTCTGGGACACACTCACGCATCAAAGAGTAACATCATCAGCAGCAGTGGGAGCAGAGCATCCATCCAGGCTTTCTCCGGGAAAAACAAAACCTGTTCTTGGCATTTTTGAAGCTGTACGCATGGTTTAATATTGGCAAACAACAAAACAAAATATCCTGGAGATACTCAGCACCTTATCGTAAGCAGATCGATCTCGACTTGAAAAGGAAGGTTTGTTTGGAAGCAGACGAAACCTTTCAGCACCTTGGAAAGCGATCATGGCTCCGATGTTGGAGGACGGAGCTCAGCCTGGTGAGTCCTCACAACACACCCACATCCATTTATTCAGATACGTGTTAATGAGTCAAAAGATTATTTTTATTTCCTTACGTTTCCTTTTATTCGTTGAAGGTGGGTAAGCCGTTGTCGAATATGTGGAAATTCAGTCAAATTATTACTATTTTTTGGATTAAAAAAGGTTAAATCCATTATTTTAAAACATTTGGAACGATTACAAGTAATTAATGCAGAGACTAATCAGCAGGGCGGAGGTCAGGCCATGTTTCAGGTTGTATCAGAAAAGGGGGATTTATAATGAGATTATTATGAAGTATAAATCGACATAAATAAATAAAATTGCATTGCATGAATACAATATAGGATAACTGAAATTATTAGAATCATAGATAGCCGTGTTCATATAAAAAGTGACGGCTGAAAAATCTCCTGTTTTTCTTTTGTTACGTCCTCGCGCACCACCAGTCCTCTCCCAGCCCTCCCATCGTTTCAGCCATCTGTCCGTCGCCGCAGCCTTGGAAAACATTTCCGCCTCGACTTTAAACTGAAATAATAATGAGCAAAAGGATAGCTTATCTTCAGTGAGCTAAATTTGGCTTTATTATTTTTTGTCTATTCACGGGATAAGCATTTTGATTTAGCCCTTTTCTATCAGTCATATCTTCTTGTACTTTGCATGAAAAATTATGATAAAAAAGCAGATTAGAAACGTCAGTCATTTAACAATTCTCCTTCTAAAGTTGCCATGATTCCATTTGTTCAAGTGCCACATCAACAGCTCATTAACTGCAATGTGAAGGCTATTACAAACATGAATAAATGGTCCAACACATTTGCTTTGTGGCCCAGTAAAAAAGACAAACACATGAGTGATCGGTCACCACCCCCACACCTCCAGCCACATCACTTCTTATGGGTTAATCTGAATGCTTTTCCACTGGGTCGCTCTCATAATTGAAGGAAATGGACATCATTTCCTCTGCTGAAATAAACCTATTAAATCTGGTTGCGCATGATAGCTATTAAACCACTAAAGAAGCAACGCATTCAGTAACAAATATTCTGGTAATGTCTCCAAAGTGACACCATAGGAGACTTAAGTAGCACAAAGAAGAATTGGGTTCATTGTATTCATTGAAATACTACTTTACTACACATTTGAGGAAATGTGCTATTGTGTAGGAGGAAGATTGTACAAAATAGTATAATTATATGCAAAGGGAATAAAAATAAACTATAAGCTATTTAACCAGTTGTACAGATGTCAGAAATGCAAATAGCCATGAAGTAGGGGCGCAATGGCACAAATCACAGTTCAAGAAGAACTGTGAAAAACCTTGGTTTTGGAGTCATGGTTTTGTACAACAGAAAAAAGAAAAATAATAAATGGTTAGATTTCTCACTTACTTTAAACATACAATTCAAGGATTCAAGGATTTTTTTTATTGTCATACCAGCCCACATTTGCATGTTTGCAGTACAAAATTCGGACTCAGGTCTCAGATCAAGAAGCCTAATAATTAACAAATAAATAAATACGAAAGAGTACAAATATATATATAATAAATAAAGTTTAAAAAAAAGTAAGATGATGCTGAGTTGAGTTCAACAGTTTGACAGCTGCAGGGAAGAAACTGTTTCTGAGCCTGGTGGTCTTGCCCTGAATGCTCCTCAGCCGCCTGTTTGATGGGAGGGGTTGGAACAGACTGTGTGCAGGATGAGTGGAGTCCTTCATGATGCGGAGCACCTCTCCCTGCATCGTGAAATGCAGAGGTCCGAGGTGGTGGTAGGCTGCTCCCCACAGACTTCTGTGCAGCCTTAACCACCCTCTGCAGAGCCATCTTCTCAGCAGCAGTGCTGATGCCGTGCTACACGGTGATGCAGGCGCAGAGAACGCTCTCCACCACACAGCGATAGAAGCTCCTCAGGACAGAGCTCCCAAGTTCAGCTCTCTTCAGCTTCCTGAGGAAGTAGAGACGCTGGTGGGCCTTCTTGACCAGACAGAAAATGTTGGCTCTCCAAGTGCGATCACAGGATATATGCACCCCCAGGTACTTGTAACAGAAGACCACCTCCACAGCTGCTCCTCCGATGTGTAGGGGATGAAGAGGATCCTTACAAATAATCCTGCTAGCAGCAGAGATAGAAAACCATTCCACCTTTTCACCCCTTCCCCAATGTGAAAATAAATAAACCAACTAATAAAATGTTGATTGTTTTTTTTAAATGTGGTTGCCCATTTGAAAGCCTTTTAATGCACAAGGGAACTTCAAAAACTTGCTCATTTTAGTCTCTTGTCACGCTTCAGTGATGCTGTAGATCTTTACGAACCAGAAATGTTTCCACACTACTGATTTTAAACAGACAAGCGGGTCTTAAGGCTCCTGTTTCTTGCTTTGCCTTGTCGCGAGTGCTTTATATAGTATCTTCTGACAGCATCTACTATTCTATAGTATTTCTGTTCCTTTTTTATTGGCAAAAAGCAAGTAAAAGGAAACGTGCATGCCCTCTTTTAGAAGGGGGTGATTGTCTATGACTATTGTGCTCTTTAACTGATTGCATGGACTGGATTCTGTCATTGGTACCATGATGATTTGGTACAAATGTATCATTACAACCCTACTAGCAGGAGATAAAAGCTTGATTTTTCCCATCTTTGAGCCCCGTCCTTTGAAAACTCTGACCCAGATGTGTATTTTTCCCTGAAGTTCTTTACAGAAATCAGGTTTCCTGTTCATTTACGATAACCATATTTGGAAAATGAACTTGTCCCTGGGTTGAACAGATCGGATTGTTTTTCTCTTCCGCTGACACAAGGCTGCAGCTTTTGTTTGTCAGAAACACTAAATTAATTCAGTTGTTCTGGTACAACAACACAGCATGCTGAGCTCGTCGTCGTATTACTTCTTGTTTTACAGATGCTTGTTCCAAAATGCTTATTTTCCCCATCTTTTTCAAACACCCCCTTCCCCTCTCGCTTGGTTTCTCTCCTCTCTTTCCTCCTCCACAGTGGCAGTGCCAGTAGGTGTTGCTGTGGTGAGTGTTTTTGGCCTCGTCTTCACTGCGTCAGCTTTCGCCTGGATCTGTTGCCAGCGCAAAAACACCAAGTCCCAGAAGACTCCTTCCTACAAGTTTGTGCACATGCTGAAGGGGGTTGACATCTACCCAGAAAGCCTGAGCGGCAAGAAGAAGTTTGCTGAATCCTCGACCCCAACAACTAACGACGGCGGTAAAACTGACGTTAATGGAAATTCCCAAACTACGCCAATGAGTTCTTCGAGTACCGATAAACTGGCATCAAGCCCAAATGGTTCCAGACCGGACATGCATCTTGAACTTGAGAAGCGGGATCTGAATGGCAACTTTACCACCAAACCTTTTCACCACCATCACCAGAAGGTGAGGAGCTCTCCAGATTTGGAGCTGCCCTCACCCCATGCAGGGTTCACCCAACCAGGAGCGATGGACCGCCGCGATCTCCCTTCACCTTCCAGCACTCTTTCCAGCCAAGCACCCACCCCCGCTGTTGACAAGCCGCAGGGAGAGGAGAAGGAGGGTGGCCTGGGGACTCTTCACTTCTCTCTCGAGTACCAGGCGGAGAGGAAGGCGTTTATTGTTCACATCAAGGTACTGTGTGTGTTCACTCATTGTGCTCAGGCGTTCTTCTACTATTAATCCTTTTTTATATACAAAGTAAATATTGGTAAAAAAACATGTTATGTTTGACTTTGTCATGCAGGAAGCCCATGGTCTGACCCCAACTGATGAGCAGTCACTTACCTCTGATCCCTACATCAAGCTCACTCTGCTACCGGAGAAAAAGCACAGAGTAAAGACCAGAGTCCTCCGGAAGACGCTAGATCCTGCCTTTGACGAGACCTTCAGCTTTTACGGGATCCCACTGGCACGAGTGTCTGAGCTGGCCCTTCACTTCATGGTGCTGAGCTTCGATCGGTTCTCTCGTGATGAGGTCATTGGAGAGACCCTCGTTCCATTATCTGGAATCGACTTGTCAGAGGGGCGTGTCCTAATGAGCCGAGAGATTATTAAGAAAAACATTAAGGTAAGGAGCAAAAAAACTCCAAAATTTTAAATGTTTTTTTTTTTGCAGCCAATGCAATAATAAAGAGAAAATCGATTTTTGTTCTTGGTCACTCTGCAAGAATTGATTAAAAACATCAAGCAACAATTCATAAACTTGTAGAAGAAACGGTTGTGCACATTAAAATAGCTTTATTTACAACTGCAAAACAGATACACAGCTTTTGAGTTGGATGTTCTGCCCCAATGACTTTCTCTGCTTTGAATCACTGTGACTAAATTTAGACATCTGACTAAGTCGTTTTTAACTGTACAGTTATTTCCAGCAGCGAATTATCATTTTAACATTGCGTACCTGCTGTCATTCAGGAACGCAGACTAAGTGAAGAATCCAAAGCAAACAAAACTTTATTGCAAAGCAAAAGGCTGATGTGGCGGCAAACTTACAGGAGCTCAGGGAGATCACATTGAAGGTCAAGGTGGAAACCCGTACATGGTGTGAGGACATGTGCTCCACTGATGTGTGAGGTGAAACTGACGGGATGCATGAACGGAGGCTGATGAAGGAAATGATTACAACTGTGACGAAGAAGCAGAGAACAGGTGTGATTGGGCGGGGCAAGCTGACTGAGGGAGCCGAGACTAACAATGGAAAAGTACTGGGAGAAGAAGTTTGGCGGCACAAAGAAGCACAAGGGGGCAAAATGATGAACCAAAGAAAACACAAAAATTACCAGAAATATAACTAAAATCACAGATTGACACCTAAAAGGATTGCAGCAAAGCAAATAAGAGGAGCTGAAACCAAAGTGTTCCCACTTACACATTATATCTGAACATAATCATTAAAGTCACTAACATTTATTAAACTATTGACACGTACAAACAATTGAATGCAAACATGTTTGCTAATGTTTTTGCCTTCGATTGAAAATATCTTGAAGCTATAGAGTGTTAGTTATTTTAAGAGAATAAAAATCCAGTTCTGCCACGGATAACAAAAGGTTAAGGTTAAATGAAGTCGGTGGGGAAATCAGATATGAGGTATGACTGTGCAAACAGAAAGAATCTGTTACTGTTACATGAATGAATCTGATACTGATGCACTTCACTGATCTGCAGTGAGCTTTGGCAAACAAAAGGCTATGGAATTTTTCTTTTCATTTCGTTTGTATTTGTTTACTTTATTATTTTTTGAAACTTTTTATACAAAGTATTTGTATTTGAAACAGATTAATATGTGCCTCACATTATTTATTTAGTTTAATTCTCAGTGTAGTGAGCTCATTATGGATCTCTAGAGAGGCGATCATTAGCTTCCTGTTTCAGACCTTCCTGCCATCTGTGAGGACCACATGCACAGGGCAGATAATTTCCAGTAAGATCTTCTTCCTTTTATAGAAATCCCATAGACAGCTGAAATATGAACAGGCTTGTTTAGTGAGCTGTTATAGTTGTCAGAGTCATTCAACCTTTATTTATACTGGTTAGTCTCATTGAGTCAAGAGGACTAATTTTCTAGAGAGACCTGTGTTAAACAAACAAAAAAAAAAACACAGATGAGGTACAGATAACAATAAACAGTCATAAAAAGCATATAAAATGAAAAGTAGAAAAGGTAGTGATATAAAACGGAATTAAAACAAGCTACCTTATAAAGTGATGTAAAATACTAAAAACAGGAACATGTCTGCGTTGATTTTTGCCATGAACTTAACAGTAGTTTAAAATCCCTTAGAGAGGTCAAAGACAACAGCCTCAGATCTTTTTGCAAGTTGTTCCAGGATACATGAGCAGAGTAAGAGAAGGCACTTTTGTCGAATTCAGTCCGCACTGAGGGGACGCTGCAGGTAATGATGTCTTGAGAGCGCACGCTGTAGTTGAACTGACGACATGACATATAGGAGTAGATATAAGAAGGCAACAGACCAAGATTGATTTAAAGATGAAAATGTACCAGTGAGAGAGTCTGAGTGAAGTTAATGATGTCCAATTGACCATTGAGTACAAAGTAACGTGATGGGTACGGCAGTTCAGATTCAGATTCAGTTTATTATTGCCATTGTCAATGAACAGGATTCACAGACTAGGAACTTGCTTTGGCATAAAGGTGCGAATAAAACATAAAATATAAAATAAAACATATGTACACCAATACAATACAATACTCAGAAAAATGTGCAATTGAAGTAATACAATAAAAATACAGTGGTAAAGTGACCAAAGTAGTTATAAAGTAACGTGATTATGAGTGTTCAAGAGTCCGACGGCAGAGGAGAAGAACATGTTCTTATGGCGGGAGGTTCTGGTCCGAATGGACCGAAGACACCTGCTTGAGGGGAGTGTTCAATTACAAAGTAGTTCATATGCAGGGTGAGAAGGGTCAGCTGTAATCCGACTCGCTCGACGTACAGGTCATGGAGAGATGGGAGGCTACAGCCGATTACTTTCTCAGCAGAATGCACAATGCGCTGCAGTCTGTGTCTGTCCCTGGCAGTGGCCCCGGCATACCACACCGTGATGGAAGATCTGAGGATGGACTCGATGATGGTCATGTAGAATTGCACCATCAGCTTGGCCGGCAACTTGGCTTTCCTCAGCTGTCACAGGAAGTACATCCTCTGCTGAGCCTTCTTGATGAGGGAGCAGATGTTCAGCTCCCACTTAAGGTCCTGGGTGATGGTGGTGCCGAGAAACCTATAACAGTCCAGAGTGATGATGGGGATATTGTTAACGACGAGGGGGGCAGAGGGGCTGTGGCTTTCCTGAAATCCACAATTATCTTCACTATCTTCTGGACATTAAGCTCCAGGTTGTTGTCACTGCACCAGGTCACCAGCCAATCCACCTCCCTCTTGTAAGCAAACTCGTCACCATTCGAGATGAGCTCATTGAGGGTGGTGTCATCTACAAACTTAATAAGCTTTACGGAGTCATGGCTGGAGGTGCAACAGTTGGTGTACAGGGAGAAGAGCAGAGGGGAAAGTACACAGCCCTGTGGAGATGCTGTGCTTAAAGTCCGAAGCCTGCAGTTACAACCAGTCATGAATCTTAGTGCACCGTGATAGACAGCGTCAAACATCTGCAAGGTGCTTGCAGGATCATTCATGTAAATAATGTCACCGTAGTCAGTGGAGGGAAGGAAAGTCACAGTTACAGTACAAGGCGTTTCCTAGCATTCAGTTAGACAGGATCTATTTCTGAAAAAGAAACTGAGTTTCACTTTCAGTTCCTTTACCAAGTTTTCTACATGAGGCTTAAAAGAGAGATGTGCATCAACCAAGATTCCCAAGCATTTATAGGAATCGATAAACTCAACAGGAACACCTTTTGTAGATAAGATAGAAGAATGGACTGCTGGTACTGACTTCCTGTTTGAAAACAACATCCCTTTGGTTTTATCAGCATTTAGCACCCGTTTGACATGGAACAAATCTGATTGGATGATGTCGAATTCATACTGTAAAAGCTGGAAAACCTTAGCAACTGTTCCAGTTCGACAATAAACAACTATGTCATCAGCATAGAAATGTAAGGATGAATCAGGAATGACCTGACCTACATTACTTATGTAGAAAGATAAAAAGATGTTAAATGTGTCTATTAGTTCTTAATTTATTAGACTGAACTGTAATCAAAATGGCAATGTACACCTGCAGCTTTATCTTGTGGTCTGTGGTTTGTTCATACATGAGCATCTCATGTTTCAGGTGGATTATGATGCAGTTCATAGATACGTGCGCAGATATTGTGCTCTGCTAACAGGCGAGCTCTGTGCAGATGAGATGGGAGATGATATGCTCACACCCACTCTCGGGTGGATTTCAAGCCTTGAGAATATATGTATTGGGTCCTTAAATATGAAATGGGACTCCAGAGTTCAGCTGGGAAATAGGAGTCAGATTCAGAAAGGACTAGATGAGTCAGGCCTTCCTCACTGAACACGTTTAGTATTTCTATAATTGACAGGATAAAATTTCTTTATCTTGCCTCCCGTCTCTTTATTCAGAGTTGGACTTTATTTTTCAAATCTTTTCCTTGTGGATGTTCCAGAGGAGACAGCTCTCATAAACCCTGTCTGAGCTTGTTTTTGTTTGGTTAGTGGACAATTAATTTTAAATCAAAGGTAACTTGTGTTGTGCTTTTATTTTGGTAGATTTTTTTGTAAAAAGTGAAAAAGAGGAGGACAAAAATATGAGCTTTTTCCAAGTCAGAGACAACACATTGATCTAAAAATTTACTTAAGCAGAAAATCAAACTAAATGCAAATAAAATAAATGTTGCTTTATGAACTGATGACATGGATTATTTAATATTGCAAAGGGGCAGAACTACCAGAACAGCTTTTTCAGTGCTTCTTGAACTGTGCCGTGTTTGCACGTTGTTGCGTGGAGGAGGGTGGTGGCTTTCTTTCAACGCATGGCGAGCGTTTTGTCACACGGCTTTGTGTGAGCACAGACCAGCGCCTGGAGCCACTGCAGCGAATCTCACCATCACAGAATCTCATCACCATTTTCCCTCTGCAGACAAAATATAACGGGAAAAACGCTTTAGAGCTCTCGCTCAATTTCCCCAGAGGAAAGTTAAACACATCGGTACAATCACATCCGTATTATGAGATCTGAACATCAGCTCAGGGAGGGAAGCTATCTCGCTGCTATTTCTCGTTACTATGGCAACCTTGGCGGAAACTCCTGTTAGGTGCGATGGCAGAATCCCAGGCACCATGACTTGTGGGTGTGGAGAGCTGACAAAGTGAGAACCCTGCGTAAGAAAACACGAGAGATTTTCCGTAACATAATGAGTGCTAGCTGAGATGTGATAATGCACCACAGAAGAAGATTTTATCCACGCTTAAGCTTTTGAAAAACAAGCAACAGTAGGAAACCACGTTTTATCATCCGGAAAATTATTGTCAGTCTTTTGTAATTGTATATATGAGTGGTCTGGATTAGTTTGCCGACTGGACTGTTTAAAATCTGATGACTTAAAAAAAATGTCAAGACGTTTACAGTTCGTATTGCTTGCTAGGTGCCATGCATGTGTCTACACTCATCATCGACCATGAGCCCCAAACAATGACGACGTCTTGTCCAGTTGATAACGTGCAATTGGAATTTTCAATCTAAATATTTTGCTCGTGATCTTCATTTCACTTATTTACCCTCAAATTTACCTTGTAAAAAAGACCTTTCATTGACCCTTTTCAAGCTGTTTGTACACTAGACAAAAATAACTAGCAAAAACAATTCAGTTCAATTCAGATTATTTATTTAGCCCCAAGTCACAACAGATGTCATCTCAGGACACTGTACAAAACATTCACATACATACAAGGGCTAATTAGTAAAAGTTATCTATTTATGGACGCTGGCAGATTGTGTTGAATATTCACTTCTTTGTAGTCTCCCATCCTGAGCAAGCAGAAACGCAACAGTGGGAAGGAAAAAACCCTTTTAACAGGAAGAAACCTCCAGCAGAACCAGACTCAGGACAAGCGGCCATCTGCTTTGACCGGCTGGGGTTTGAGGACAGGAAGGAGAAACAGACACAGAATGGCAAATCCAGTTATGCTCCCTATTGGAAGAAAGACAAAACACATGTTAAGGATAGAAATAATTACAAAACAGGTAGAAATACAAAACAGGTAGGGTATAGCAAGTAAAGACAGCAACAGAGTGAGGAAATGTGGTTAATTTATCCTCCAGCAATCTAAGCCTATAACAACACAACTGAGAGATAGCTCAGGAAACCCAAGGCAACCCTAACTATAGGATTTATCAAAAAGGAAAGACTTAAAAGCAGACAAGGTTTCAGCCTCATGGACATAAACTAGAAGTTGGTTCCACAAGAGAGGAGCCTGATAACCAAAAGATCTGCCTTCCATTCTGCTTTTGGAAACTCTAGGAACCATAAGTAAACCTGCAGTCTGAGAGTGAAGTGCTCTGTGAGGAAAATATGGAACAATAAGATCTGTAACATAAGATGGAGCCAGGTTGTTGTGTAATGCAAACTGTTCTTTTGTGTAATAAAAAACACTTGAATAAGGTATTTTGCAGCACATTGATAAGTCATTAAATGGCATCCCTAGAGGTCCTAAACTTTAATGTTTTAATGTAAAAGAACTTTATTTTGGTATGTAAAGGTGTTTAGATTTTGTTTTATTTTATTTTTTTAAATCACAATTTCATCATAGTTTTATTGTTAAACTACTTATTTAAAGAAGGCCTAAAGAACTTTGCGATATAATAACTGTTGATCTAGCAGATTATTCAACATTCAGTCCTTCGCCTACACCAAAAATAAAATAATTAACTGTGTACAACACAAAAAGCAAATATTTTGTGCTGAATGGTCACTTGAATGTGAAACATCTGAGTAATTTTGGTTTTCTTATTTAGGTGCCAGTTCAGTTTTTGACAGTGCTAAAATATTCTCTTCTTTGTCTTGTCTTTTCATATCTTCACCTCCTCACCTTTTGATCATCGCTTTCTGTTTTCTTCATTTATTCATAATCACAGAAGTCCTTGGGACGTGGAGAGTTGCTGCTCTCCCTGTGTTACCAGTCCACCACCAACACTCTGACTGTGGTTGTCCTCAAAGCTCGCCACCTGCCCAAGAATGAAAACAAAGGACCCACAGGTATGAAGACTTTAATCCCAACATTTTAGTACCTTTGGCATTTTTTGTAGACACATACAGTTGTGCGGACAACCTGTTTTGGCACTGAAATGAGCAGATCAGCCCCAAATAATTTGCTCTTCCACTCAGCTGACTACTTAAGATGCTGTGATAGTTGCTCTAATGACACCTCCATCGCATCAAAGTAATCTGACCAGGGTGTGATTGAGGGCACTGTAGTGACAAGGGCACACACAATGTTTCCCCAGGCAGCTTTTTCTGAACTCATCGCTAACATCCATCACTTCTGCTCCATCAATCAGTGTATTGATTTTGCCTAGGAGTAATACATCACAAGGCAATTGCTCTGAGAATACTATGATTTTGTCTTGCTTCTCCTCAGAATATTCAACTGCTTTGTCGTTTGCGTTCTCTAGATCCTTACGTGAAGGTGAACATGTTTCAAGGAAAGAAGCGCATATGTAAGAAGAAGACTCACGTGAAGAAAAGCTCCCCCAACCCAGTCTTCAATGAGCTCTTTGTCTTTGATTTGCCTTCTCAAGAGGGTTTGAGGGACACCAGTGTGGAGTTGCTGCTGATGGACTCAGACAATGGCAACTCACGCAGCCCAAACACCGTCATCGGGCGCCTGGTGTTGGGCACATCTGCTGCAGGAACCGCTGGTGAGCACTGGAGGGAGATCTGTGACCACCCGCGTCGCCAAATTGCCAAGTGGCATGTCATGACAGAGGATTAGAAAAGCTGGGTGTGTGTGGATTCTGACATTGATGCCACATCGAAAGGTCAACCAAGAAGATGGACAAGATGTGATGTCCTGCTGGCCAACACACATTGGACTCTAAGTGGGAAGGAGGCGGGGTGGGTTCAGGGGTGGTTAAAAAATGGGAACAGACTTTTATAAGGTTGAGGATAACTCATGTGATGTCATGATAAATCAGTCATTATTTCATACATATTTAAAGTTATTGGGGTTCAGGTGGAGCATTATGAAGATAACCCTGTGGCTTTAAATGATCCCAAAGACTACCACTAAAAATCACTTGGGTAACATCAAACATTATCGCCATGGCAACAACTAGTCGTCACTGTAAACGTGTGCAGTGCAGAATGCCCTACATGTTGCTAATACTTTCCTTTCTTCCTCGTCTCCTTCTTCTGCAGCTCGTTCTCCTATAGATAGTAACCTGTAGACCGTCATATAACACACAGAACCAACCGCATCTGACAACACTGTAAAAAAAAAAGAAGTGGATTATTAAAGTTTCTTTTATAATGACCTTTTTTTTTATTTTTAAATATGTAAATTGTTTTTAATTTGTTATTTTGGTTTGAATAATACTGGTTGATTTGTAAATCTTGTGGTATTTCATACATCATGACTTAAAGTACAAACCTGAATGAGGTGGTTTGACAATAGAAGGCAATGGACTGAGTACACTGGGGACAGCAGCTCTGGATGCATTTATTTGTGTGTGTGTGTGTGTGTGTGTGTGTGTGTGTTTGTGTGTGTGAGAGAGAAAGTTTGTTTTTCATAACGAGAGTGGTAATGGTGACACAATTACCTGTATGAGAGCAAATGTGTGTAAGTCACGCTTACTGTAGATGTTTTGTCCCCATCACTGTGAGCACAAAAGGAGGTGAGATGTAAATGTATGTAACTTACTATAAAACATAGCAAGTTCTGAAAAAAACAAGAGTTGTATGTTTTCTTTCACGTGAATATTGTGTACGGGGTGAGGGTGTCTACATACCAGGTGTGTGTATGAGTACCCAGTCTTTAATTATCTTTTAGCTTTTATATTTTGTGTAATTACCAACCTTGTCAGGACTAGCAGTCCTCTTGGAGAACATAATCGGATTTTGCAGTGGAACCAAACCAGTAAACAAAACATTTAGAGGTAGAGCGTCCAAGTCAAGGTACAAATATGTAAGATTCCACCTTGGTTGTTTAACTCGAGAGGCAAAATGTTAGTGTTTAAAATTTAGTGTCAATTTTTTTAGCTTATTCAATGACTTGAGTTCTTTAAAGTTGAAAGAGGTTTGAGACACATTGTCAGAAATTGACCAAGGCTTCGTTGATCAAGCTTTGCTGTGTATCCCATAACCAAAGGGGTGTGTTTGGGGCCAAAGAGTCAGGTTTTAAGGATAGGGTCAGGCATTCAGGTGGATTGGTTGGGGTTGGAATAAATTTTCAGGACAGTATGGTAGTGGAATTACTGAGCAGCATAATGATAGGCAACTGCATCATATAATTAGGGTGAGTTGCAGTCACTAATGTCCGGAATGAGTAGAGTTTAAAGTAGGGTTAGCATTAGGTTACAGAAATGAATGGAGGTCTGTACAATGTCACAATAAAAATAAAAATATAAATGTGTGTGTTATTTTCATGCCTCGATGGGGTCCAAAACCTGACAGGATTCCATGTTATCAGTACTTTTTCTTCTTCTTTCGGCTGCTCCCTGCGTTAGGGGTCGCCACAGCGAACTAAGTCGCATGAAGACTTGGCAATTATTTTTACGCCGGATGCCCTTCCTGACACAACCACAGACCACCGAGCTACCACAGCCCTCTGTGTGGAGCAAAGAGCTGTTATCTAGGACACCCAGAGGAGCAGATGGTGGGGGTTAAGGGCCTTGCTCAAGGGTCCAGAGTGGGACAAATGAGGGTGGGGGCAGGTGTGGGTGCTTCATCTACCCCACCCACATTTTTTAAAATGTTGTCGGTACCGGGGCTTGAACCCACGATCTTCCGATCACAGGCCCACCTTCTCTAACCTCCGTGCCACCACTCCCCTATGCCATGTTATCAGTATGTCCTGTAAAATTGGAATCAAATGTTTATATTAAGCCATTTTAAAATAAATCTAAGATTGTTTGAACAGTTAAAGCGCACAGAAGAAGTTATAATTGGATTTACAGTTAGTGGAGGACTTCGTGGATGGTGTGCAGCAAAACAATTGCAGATGAACACCTCCAAGACTAAAGAAATGGTGGTGGACATTTGAAGAAACAAGCCCATCCAGTGTCCATCAGTGGGTGTGATGTGGAGGTGGTCAGGACCAATAAATACCCATGACTGCAATTAGATGACAGACTGGACAAGACAGCAATCGCAGACACCATCTACAGGAATTGGCAGAGATGTCTGTACTTCTTGAAGAGGCTGTTGTCCTTCAACGCTGGTAAGAAACTGCTGCAGAATTATACCAGTTTATGATGGCCAGTGTCCTCTGTTATGCTGCAGTGTGCTTGGGAGGCAGAGCTGAACCAAAGCTGAACAGACTGATGAGGAGTTTAGAGTTGGACTATGCGGTAAAGAGAAGGACACTAGACAAAATGATCTCCATCCTGAAGAATACCCACAATCCTCTATACTGCATCTTCAGAGCCGAGTGCATTCAGTCATAAACTGTTGTCACAATACTATAATAGACTGAAGAACTATTCTGTTCCCCTAACCAATATGACTGTACACCTCATTGGCAGGGGAAGCACTCAGTGTTAAAAGAAGCTTATGTGAGGCTGACAAATTGTCTCTTTTTAAGCTTTGGGTTAAGTCTTTCCTTTTTGATAAATCCTATAGTTAGGGACAGCTTGGGTTTCCTGAACTATCCCTTAATTAGGCTGCTATAGAGTTAGACTGCTGGTGGACAAACTGACCACATTTCCTCACCCTGCTGTCTTTATTTGCTCTACTCTACCTGTTTTGTATTTGTAATTATTTCTTTCCTTAACATGTGTTTTTTGTCTTTCCTCCTATTTTTTTTCATTCAACCTTTATTTAGACAGGTTAATCCCATTGAGCCTAGAGGACTCATTTACAAGAAAGACCTGTCTCCAACAAAGAGACAACAATGGACAACAGCTACAATAATAGGCAGTTATAAAAAGGCATACAGATTTTTTTTTACAAATAAGATGGCAAAAAAGTAACAGAAACAGCTAGATTATAATGCGAATGTAGAAAACTAAAAACAGGAACATGTCTGCATTGGTCCCTGCCAGGAGTCCAACAGATTCTTAAAGCCACTTAGAGAGGTCAAGGTCGAGAGCTTCAGATCTTTTTGCAAGATATTCCAGGAAACAGGAGCTGAGTAGGAGAAGGCCCTTTTGCCAAGTTGAAGCTAGCAAGCTGAATAATCTTTAAATAAGACCATGGGTGGCACATACTGTATCTTCTGGCTGACTTTCCACGGTGGAATCCATTTTGGGTGTGTTAGTGGTGCTGCAGGTGCGCCCAGCTCCGTGACATATATACTAGAATATATGTCATTGGCCCAGCTCTTTTTGAAGGTGGGTCTAACGCTACCTGCCCACTTTGCATTGATTCGTTGGACCAACTCCCCTCTCGCCATTGGTTACTTTCAAATTAATGAACAAATAAAAAAGTTGCAAAGTGAATGTAACTTGTAACACAATGCATCATAGAAATGTAGTGTAGTAGAAAGTACAGATACATAATGTAAAATGTAGTGGAGTAAAAGTAAAAAGTACCCATGTTTAACTCTACTTAAGTAAAGTACAGATACATAAAAAGTGTACTTAAGTACAGTAACAAAGTACTTGTACTTAGTTACATCCCACCACTGCCTATAATAAATGCAAAAACACATCTAACCCAATCTAAACATTCTAGTCTAAACAAGTAGGGGTGTAACAGTACGCTAAAATCACATTTCGGTTCGGTTCAGTTTCAAGGCTCAGTTCGGTTAATTTTTGGTACAAAAAAGGCCAAGCTAAAGACCAACAAAAAGCTTATTTTGAAAATATGCCAAGTAAACAATACGTTTGTATAAAAATAAATTAAAGAAAATTCTTGAAGAGGAAGAAGACTCAGCTGCTCAACTCTCGGTGACATCCTCAGACCGCAAACACAAAGAGGTTAAAAAAATTTGAGTTAATAAGATTATAATTTTAAATTAAAAAAGTTAATTATATCACATTAATACAATAACATTACTTCTTGTTGCACCTTCATCATTTCTGTTATGATGTGGTTGAATATTCTTTCGCTCATCTTCATTGATGTGGCAGGGCTTTAAATCTGGGCTCCAGGGCTTGTTGACAATATCAGTTTTAGCTTTTTCATAAAGTACTGGTACAACTTTTTAGCTGAAGTGTTGATGTGATGGGATGTCGTAGGCAGCGGGGCTCAATAACTTTAATCATATGCTTAAAGCCAGCGCATCAACAACAGAATACGGACATAGCTCCATAGCTTTATAACCTCCTATAGCTTATTTTATTGCTTTGGACAGATCTGAATTACCTGATAAAGGTTGTTTAAATGCTGCTGTTGTCTGTCTTTGCACCAAGCTGTTAGAAGAGATGTTCAAATTAGGATGATGTCAAGTGCCTGGATTATTGAGCATGCATCAGGATGTCAATTCAAATGTGTTAACAAGTTAGACGTGTTGCCTGCAGCAGTTCCAATCTCCGTGAAACAACGTCAACAAACAGCTTTGGATTTGTCCACTTGTCTTTTCCCATTGTTGAGTTTTAATAAGAAAGCCATAATGTTCCCAAACAGGAGACTGCAATGAGATGAAAGGGTCTCCCGCTATGCTGCTAATGCTAGTGTGCTGCAAGAATCTGCAACAATTAATAGTGCTGTGCTGAAACACGCTTAGGAACTTTAGTTCCGCAGCACATGATCTCTCGTTAATAAGATTTAATGAGTGAAAAAATAACCGAGATGGTACGCACGTGGACCGAACCAAACATGGTTTACTGAACCGGTTCAGTACACCCACATATACCGTTACACCGCTATAAACAAGTAATTAAGAGACAAGACTAGAAACGTGTTGTTTAGCACATGTGTACTCATCAACATGTGTCTCTGATATGTGGTTAGCAGCGTAACATTTTTC